CTACTGAACTGCAGGGATGTATTTTATTTAGTTTCAGAATTGCCTTAGGCCAAATCCACACAGAAAAGAAAGGATAAGAGCAGCCTCCATTAAATTACACTTAGAATTATTATTTGGCTTCTATTCAAGCTCAGAAATTTCACCCTTTGTTAGGATTACTTTTTTATTATTAAATACTTCATTTGGACCTTGCCCCAGTGCTCTGAAATCCATCTGTTAAGATCAATCATTTTTTTATTTTCTATAGTAACCAGAACATTTAGTATATTAACAGAACAGGCAGAACATTTAGTATATTAACCATCTTTAAAACTGTGGTACTGCCATATCTGCAGCCAGCACAACTCGCTTGCTTCATCAACCTAATATATATCAGAATTGACACGTTCTGAAAACACAGCCTCTCTATCAGAAAACTCATAACTAGCACACTCTTAGAAACCAGCACCATATTATTTCAGAAACCTTTGAAGGATTTATTAGGCAAGGAATGTACTCAGAATTTTTGTTGCTTAATTTTTTTTTTTTTGTACTAACAATCAAAAATGAAATTTCTGAAAATTTGCATTTTTAATTTCAAAATTATAAACGAAAGTTTTATTATAATGAAACGAAAGGACAATGCAAGTGACTACTCAATTGCAGGCACACAACCAACACCTAAAGCTTAAGCTTTCCCTGCAGCTTGACCAAGTAATCACATTATTCTTTTGGTCTGTACAAGGAGGCAAACATGTCCACTGGCACAAAACAATAGCACCTTGAAAGCTGATTAACATGATAGCTGTCACATCAATCAATATACATGGCAGCAACTATAGATAGGACAGCATATCATTAATATGATAGATATCAAATGGTAGAACAATAGAGCTGAAAGAAAAAGGGGTCTGCAGAAACTGAGGACCAATACAAATAACCTTATTCTCCTCACACCGAGATCCCTTTCAGAGTAACATAAACTAAATTGGTGAGCTTTGATTCCCATATTTCAATTGTGATACAACCGGGTAATGTGAATGGCCTCGTGTATTAACTGCAGAAGGAACATTTTTGTGATTTGAGATTTAACAGAAGCACCATAACACCTAACTTACTGCTCCATGTTCAGCTATTTCTGCTTTTCACAGGCAAAACTTCTCTCGGAGTGATCAAATTTACTGCGAGACCTATTTTTCCTCCAGCTATTCCAGCAAACTAGGGCTGAATTTTTGTCTCTCCGCTCTCACCCAGCTGATACAAAGGTTTCCTCACAAATCCCATCAGACTTTGGGGTGCACAGATTATTAAAGGCACATCATATCATGCTGCAAAATCAAAAAGCCTTTACAAGGAGCAGTTGATTTCTCTTCCAGGGACCCTGGACAGATGGCATGATTGGACTATCACTAAATCAGCTTAGTCAAATACATTATTAGTTCTCCAGCCCAATAATTCACTGTGTATTCTTAATGAAATCGTTGAATGAAAAGGGCGATGTGCCAAGCTTAAAGCAAATAAACAGAAATCCACTTTCCTTCAAGATCAACCCTCTCCTGATATTTATATGAGACACAAAAGACTGAGCTCCTCTTGAAAAAGCAGCTCATTACAAAACACAGAAGACCAAAACCTAAATTCTACCTCTGTGCTTGTGTTTCCTATATAATCAAGTGTCTCGTTTTGTTGTGACTATTGTAGTGATTCAGGCAAATCATGGGGACAGATGAGTGCCTGCCACAGAGCAGCCACATCAAGGAGCATCATAATGGGCTCTCAGGTATCTAAAGCACCAGGTCCCTCTCAGGCTGGACACACAGCATCTCCTGAGGTAATGCCATTAACAGGTGTATGAGCACTTCACTCATGACCACCAGCACCTAATGTTCCAGCACAGCTTAATGCTCTCCAGAAAAGATGCATGACTCTGCTTTGATTTCCAAGAGGCCACCCTGAATCCCTGTTAATTCTCCTCTTAACAGCACAATAATCCACGAGCTTTCATGGAATTAACAGACTTGTACCCAATCATTCACAGGGAGTTTTGCCAACAACAGTCAGTCACATTTTTACTGAGGGAAATTACTCTCATAAAAACATTTCTGCCTGTCCTCACAATGACATTTCCTTTGTCACCATAAGGACGAGCTCAGGAAGTAGAACTAATTACCACCACTGCATGTACCAGTGATTCTTCACTGCTGCAACTGCCCCTCCATCAGGATGCAACTCTACTGTACATCCAGAGATTAAAAAAATATATCCTAGCTATCTGTGTACATTAAATAAACCCATTTAATACTGGTTGAATTTTGAGCATATAACACCCTTGAACGTAGGCATGACATTGCTTTTAATGCAAAATTATTGCACAGCTTTTCAAATCCTACCAGTCTGTGCTATTAAGTGCAAGGTCTCATCTCCATTAGCATGAGAGAGGTGGCTGATCTGTTTGACTCAACACAATAAATAACAAGTATTTATTTGTATTGAAGTAAACATAATTTTCAATGCACGTTAGGACTGTAATAATTATATGAAACTCATATAACCAACAGCTTGCAGACACAGCACACAAAAGGCTCCTCAAAACATTGTGACAATTGATTCACTTTGTGATTTGACATGAGCTGGATGATGTTGAACAAGTAGTTTATTCACCATTGTTTGGGACAGGTTATTTCATTAATTCCTGACTTTTAAACAAATGAGAGACTTTGCATGTATTTTCATACCAGCACACACACCACTTAATTCACACAACAAGCCTATGATATTAGGTGGGTCTTCTCCAATACCTGGCAATTAACCTCTCCTACATATGACTCACTCACATTCACAGAATGTTTTCTATATGAGCACTGCATGTTTACAAATGAGGCTGGCATATTTTATATAATCTTCACCACCTTGTTTGAGACAACAAAGTAGAGCTATCATCACATACAGAGTCACAGGCAGACACACATTAAATGAGGTCACCTGATTCCTTACTTCCCACTATGGCTATGGCAACTGGACCCTGAATTTAACACATAGTTTGAAATAAAAGGAGTATCGAATCAGGATAGTTTACATGTTCTGCAAAAAAAAAGTTATGATTATTATTAGCTACATTTTTAAGACGTTTTCCACAAACTCTAATATATTCAATTAGGCCACAGGAATCTAAAAAGTGCAATATGCTCTCTCTGCTGAATTCCTGGTTCTGAAAAACACCAACCTCATCCTCACCAAGTCTAAAGCTGCAGCCCCTCAGGGACTTTGGAGGAGGAAGGAGCCACTGACTCCTTTGCTGTCTCCTTCAAGATGAGTCAATATGATCATGGTCAAAGTGATCATTAGAGGCAATTTAAAGTGATGCTTTGTCCCAAGGCAAATTCTGACTCGCTGAAATTTTTCCTTTCTAACCATTGACAAAAGTAATTTTTAAAAAATACTAAAATTCAAAAGCTCTTTCTCCATGGAAGATAAAGAAGCAGAATATATCCAACTGAGTCTCAACAATCTCTTTTGAAACAAAAGCATTTTTGTTTTTTCAAAATAGATTTTTTATGTTCCCTTACAAATATTTCAACAGAGGTTTATTATCATCATCTCCATTTTTACCATTAGGGTCTTTCATTATCTTCTGTTAAAAAACACAAAGCAAATTTGTAAACAGTATTTAGTATGCAAAGCAAGTGACACAATAGATCATCATTTCTAAGAGAGGTACTAGACTCACGAACCAAGTTTCTGCAAATTCTGGAATAAGAACAGAATGCTTAATTTGCTTAATTTGGACTATATAAACAGAAACATGTTGACTTTCAATGTCTGTACTTGTTTCTGTCAGGAATTACCCTGTATCCTGCAGAAAGAACCTTCCCATTTTGTTACAAATGCTTGCAAGAATCTGGATGGCTTTGGCAATTTCCCATGTGTGTTGAATTAGCTGGCTTTTCATTTTACCTTTAAACCAGCCATTTCCACACACAGTTTTATCTAAATATAAACCTTATGGCAACAGCCATTTGTCACCTTCACATATATTATTGATGAGAAAGCAGAGAGCCCACCAATTAGGATGCCTGCACTGATGCTATCTCCAGGCTAAGCCTGAGGTACTGATTGAACAGCTGAAGTAAAAACTCAGTTTTACACTTGAAAGAAAGTTCAAAGGCAATGAGAACAGACTGCCCTGCAAAGGATACAGATAGCTGTGCTAACTGCTGGAAAACTTCATTTAAGGAGTAGACTATATGACTTACTCTGTATCACAAGAAGCAACTATGAGTTGACATCCTGTTCAACGAGAAGGTCTGCTTAGTTTTCATTCAAGCTTTGGATTAAATCTATGAATCTGACATAATGATAGCTTGAACATTCTTTTAACCCTCATCACAGCTTAGTATCAAAGATATAGTGTCAAATAATGGTCAAGATACAAAGCAAACAGTTTTAACTGGTTTTGTCTTTCTATTGCTAGCCCACCAAGACATCATACAGTATTTCTTAGGCCCCATATTGCCAATTCTAAATGAAAAGAAGTATTAAAAGCACAGGAAATCAGGACAACTTTAGGTGGACAAACAAGATCACTTGTCTTCTCTGCTTCTATCCACATTCTCGGGTTGTCAAATAACATCAGCCTATTCCATAAATACTTACTATTTATTCCACAATCTACCAGTTGTTTCTAATGTAACTACATCAAGAGAATTTATCCAAGAGAAATTATCTAAAACAAAATGTTGTGCTGAAGATTCATATTTAGAAGAAATGACAACGAACAAGTTTATATCATATCTCCAGCCCTGTTTATTGAAAACTACATGGACTTTCTTTCCTCTGTATCTGAGCATGAGACCCAATATCTTACATTAAGATAGATTTATGCACCTGTTAATAAGTAATAAATACCATACACATTTCACAGTAAGACTTCCCATTCAAAGCATTCCACATTTACAGTATATGACAATGAAAAAGCTCTGAGCTAAATCAGCACCACTGGAGAACACAAATACTTTTCTTACCTCCATTTCTGTGCAGTGTAAATGCTCCGATTTATCTGTAAGGAAAAAAAAAATAGCTTTCAGATTAAGTCAGTGGGCAAAAAACATGGTTCTTTGCCTTGCTTCTATCACACATTTCAGTAATACTGGCGTTATACATGCATCACAGACTTAACAACAAAAAGATTCTGCACTCTTTATTTGATCATAATTCTCCCTTTTATGATCTGTCTTTAATGTTTGGCTTCGTTATTTAAATTGTATGAATGATGCTCAGCCATGAAGGGAACATGCAAACGTGTTGGCTTCAATTAAGTAGACACAAATAATTATTTCAAGAGAGAAAAATATCATTAATTTGCAACAAGGAAAAAGCCACTGCTTCATTTGATACTACCAGTATATCAGAGAGTTGAACAACAACACCAACTTCAAGAAAACTAAAGAAGCAATATTATTGTAATATTTTTGTAAGTCCCCCTTCTCAATTTTTGCATCTCCAAAACATCACTTTTGAATATGTATGATAAAGAAAAATTAAGTTTCTCAACTGTTTCAGATAGAAAATCTCAATTTTCTCAAAGTCCAAATGTTTGGTATAAAATTGCGAGTGGCTTGATGGAGTATAAAAAATAGGACAGAAACTTTGCACCAAGTACCATTTCAGCAGCAAGATTACCATTTCATATTAATAATTCATTCCCAGAGCAGTGCAAAATAATTCCGGCAGGATGATCTTCTGTTGGAAAACAATAATCAAAAAAATATTTCACAGAAGTATCTCCATTTCAAAGGGGAGCTACCCCAAACTTTAACTTCAAAACATGCAGGCATTTAATTTCACTTCTTTAGTCCTTTTTCGGGTAGTGTTGCATTTGCACTGCTACATCTGTAGTCTGCAGCGCTGGGCCTGATGGCGCTCAGCCTGGGAGCGTGGGACGTGATTCTGCATCCCCACCCATTCAGAACTCAGGCCTGCACGTGTTGGCCAGAAGTGTCTGCTTTGGTGATGGCTGCTGAGCACGCCCAGGGAACCAAAGGCCTGAATGGAGTGGCCAGGGAGAGCCTGCAATCTGTAGCCCTGACTAGGAAGATTGCTTTCATCAGATTGCCTGGTGAGCTCAGGAAGCTCAGCCAAGTGGTTAGCATAATATTAGCACTGAGGAACGATCATGCTAGCTTAATAAACAAAATCTGAATGGCATGCAAAACTGACAGCGCTAGGGAAGTCACCCGCATAGAAACAGATTAATTTTTCATATTGCACTAGTCACCTTGCCTTTGAAACTAAAGGTTAAACACGTCTTGAATGAATAGGAAACACCTAACCTGTAGAGGGAAAGCTGTTTGCCTTCATTCTGAAGGCTCGCCAGTCTAAGCTGAACACTGGTGTCTGATTTCATAATGAAGCACAAGAGAGTGACTTAAAAGGGCGGCTTTTAAATACATTTTGCATCCTCTTGTCAAAAGGACTGGGGATTCTGGTTCGTTCATGTCAAGATCCATAGAAGAGCCATTTTCGGCTTTCAAAATGGTCAGACTTGTGTTATTATTTTAAATTATAATTGGGGGAAATTCACTAAACTTTTTAGTATCCTATGACTACTAGCAGAGTTATGAATACTGGGGGCTAATTCATTGAAATCTAAAAGACTGCTGAGCAAAACAACATGAATCCACGATACAAGGCAATACAAGAGCAATTCTCAGAAACATAGTCCAAACAGGGGGAAAAGATAGCAATTTTAAACTACTAACCATGCAATGCCATAGCAGTTCTCTAGAACGTGTAACCACTGATAAACAATGTCAAGTTGCATCTCCCGTAGCCTGGTGGAAGAGGAGTCCGACACCACCAGATCCTCTCAGTAACACGGACAGAAAGCACCCATTGCAACACTTCAAACCCATGCTGCTGTCCTACAAAGAGCCTTTGAACTGAAGTCTTAACCAAATTCTGAAGTACAAAGCAAATCCATCAGCCCAGACCAAAAGAAACAGTGTAATAATCGTATTTAGAAAGGAATAGCAAGAAATTCATCTCACAGCATCTTTGATAAATCTTTGATAAACTTTCATGAACGCACCTGAGCTTCAGAAACTTGCCTTATTTCCTATAAATTTCTATCAAAATTAACTACTGCCTTCAGAGCCAACATTTATTATTATTGTAACCAAGTAACATATTAAGCTGAATTTTTCACTCTCATTACGTGCAAACTGGGTAACACCACCAAAGAGTTGTTTCTAACAGCACTTAAAAACGGCAGAATTGTTTTTTTACCATGGGATTCCATATTCCAGGTAGGGAAAGGGGAGAAACAAGTAGTTCAAGTCTCACAACAGCTCAAATGTACTACAGATAGTATTTGAGACAGGTGCAAACTACTGATTGATACACCATTTTAATATCATGGACTGACCTCACTACTCCCTTCCCTACCCCTCTGAGCCCTGATTCCAGCTATAAGCTGAGCAGATTTCCCCACCCTGTTTGCAGTGACTGAAGGGCACATTCCTCTGGAAATTTCCAAAGTTACTGAAGACACAGATACTAACAGTGCTTGCCCAATAAACACACACTGCCTTGAATCTATCAAGATTGACATGAATTTGCTTTTGTGTGGTCCACACAAGCCAATTTACTCCTAATAGCCGGGATCAGAAATTTCTTCTCTTCAGCTGAGATTACTGAAAAAAAAATAGGAACTTCTAAACATAGCCTAAGGCTCACACTTTCCTAATTTGCACTGGGAGGAATAAAAATACATCCCTATAAGTCATAAAACTGTCTCTGTTTGCAGTCTCTGTCTGCAAGCAGCCTTACATGTTTATCTGGTAACTAAGGGAAGGTTTACAGTCATTTCAGCTGTTGCTTCTTTACCTACATCCTTCCTTCTCCACCCTGTACAGCCATTCAGCTAGCTGCTAAGATGTGCAGCAATTTCACCATTCTCAACACCAAAATATATGCATCTCAATAGCATTTTCCCATGACAGCTTTCCAGTAGTGCATTCATTTCTAGCAAACAGCATAACTTAAACCATCAGGTTAGCTTTAGTTTACAAACAGGCTACAGTTTGGGAAATCACATGATCTTTCACTCACAAACCGGCAAAAAGCAAAACTGCTCATTTTTTGCAATAAGCAAAGAGGCTCAAATAGAAGGTTTCTTATATGTCTGAAAACAGTTTTCAAAGAGCCCCGTATGTGTCATGAAATAATAATAACAGCACAACAACAAAACCCTGAGCAACATTTATCATTTCTCAGAATTTCTGTTTGAAAATTATTCATATTTCCAAGCCCCAGCAAGTGGAGTTGGGCCAAGCTTCCATCAAGCACTAAGGTACTCTGACTCATCCCTCAAGGCAGAAGCTTCAGGCTGCCATTTATACAGGGAAAAATAATTACTTTCACATAATGTCTCAGAATGCTGTTTAAAAAAAGACTGTACACAATTTATCACTAGCCCGTGCTTCACTCAAGTGTAATCGCCATGCCTTTCAAGGATGAGCAAATCACAGTTAAGGATCTCCACAGATTTAAAAACAAAACAGCAAGCATATCACGTACTGCTGCCAATACTAAGGAGCCTGCATTCAAGACATCATTTTAAAGCTGAAGTAGATGATTTGGCATGTTGAAATGGACTGATAGAGGCTACACATGCAGGATGTACAAAACAATTTGCACTCCACTGTCCAAAGAAATCCTAAACTAGAGTCGATGTTTGTGATTTGACACCACAGCCACTGGGCTGTTGTTTCCACTACAAGCAGCATAAGAGCCTCAGAGCACCTTCCTGGCCTGCCTTCAACATCCCCAGATCATCTTGATGGATCTGAAAGCACTGCTTGTTTTCAGAATCAAGATTGTCAGCACTGATGTTCCAACAACTGTGTATATGCTATATATGCTATATATGCTATAGTAACAAGCCTGAAAGCAATTTTGTGTTGAACAATAATATTCTACTTAGATTCCACAGCCTACTTCTGTGCTTCTGGGCAAACTAAACCTACTTCTTCCACAACAGAAGACCTCAGGGTGCCCTCAGGAAAGAGGGGCACTGCCCATTCAGTAAGTTGAATTTGTATTTGCTTTCTGACTTTCAAGTCTTCAAGAGGTACTGTACCTACAGTAATAGTAGGCCTTTCTCTGTCCTTAAGAGAAGAAACTCCTTAAAAGAAAAATATCAGACTCATTTAGGCAATGCTTTCAGACATAAGGTAAGTATTTGGATGGTGCTGTGTGGAGCCAGGGGTTGGAACTGACAATCCTTCTGGATCCCTTTCAACTTGGGATATTCTGTGATTCATTTAAGCATCTGGTTGCAGGAACTGTGGCATTCACTACCAAATCTGGCAAGACTTTTAACCCAAAAGTCAAGATTAGTACCAATGAAAAGGAAAGGAAGAAAAATGAAAAAAACAAAGGCAACCAAGCAACATAAGAAAAAGGAACACATAAATAAATGGATGCATAATTACGTGGAGAGGAAAATAATGATGCAGCAGGAGTGAGACAGATTTCTTGTAGAGGACGGATATTACAGGAGAAACAAATGAAAAACAATGGAAAGACAGAGAGACATCTTGAATAAAAACAAAAGCACATAAACAAAATGTCTAAGTGGCAAAGAAAAATATAAGTCAGGCACAGGCTATAAGAACCACCAGGCTGCAAGGTGGAAGGTGAAGAAGACTGAGAACAGGAAGAAGACTGGAATTAGGATAGTTAACAGGACACCCCTCAGAAAGGCTATTTTTAAGGAAAATGCTGAGGTCTTCAGGATCAACACATCCCTCCTCTAAACTGCGTAATTAAAGATGACAAGAAATGAGGTAAACCCTTGCAGCTGGCTTTTTGAATCTGCATAGTGATTTCTATATCTGCCTCCAGTTGATTTGGAAATGGTCTGCCTCACTTTTCAAACGGAGACAGGACAAAAGAAAGAAAATTCTTAGAGAGGATACAGAAGGAGCCCAGAAATCTCCTCCACTGTGTCAATCTTTTATCACGCCTTTATCTTTCTCCATTCAACTTGGATTC